AGAGCCTGAGGAAGTGAAGGTAAAATCTTTTACTATTTGAAGCTTTTGATTTTTGGAAGCTTTTGATTTCTGGGTTTTTTTGGTTGCCCAAGGTGTTCGCTTAATTAATTGAGCATTTTGTGTTTAGAGATTTTGGATCAAACAAATGGTTTAATTTGCCAGTCTTGCATGGATTTGATTGCATTCGGTATCACCTGCATCTCTTATGAATTTCTGAGTTTCAGAAGAAACTGGGAAATCTTCAATTCCAATTTTTATGTTATTTTTGAATTTTGAGCTTATGTCTTCAATTATTTGAGAGATTTTATGCTGATTCAAAAGAAAACTCATTGGTAATGTTTACCCTTTTGTTCTTTCTTCTGCAAACAATAAGCCATCAAGTGAACTTTTCATCCTTCATGTAACCAAAATTAACTTCACCTCCCCTGCTTTCCCCTCTTGAATCTTTGATTGTGACTAAGAGGTTGATGTATGACTTTTGAGTCGATGAACATCGAACACTGCTAAACAAAAGTACTGTGAAGTGTTAAGCGTGTATAGTGCTCAACGTACTTCATGTTGCAGGATCCAATTATCAGGCCGCTGCACGAATTAGATTCTAGTACTTTGCAAGGTCTTCTACCTGAAATACCAATGTGGGTTAAATTTTCCGACTATGAACGAGTTAGTATCTCCTCTCAATCTTATTACATTGAGCCTTTGCCCTTTCTTTCTCTCACTCCTGCTAACACCTCACCTCAATGTTGATTATACGCATCACTGTGCAGGTTGACTGGTTAAACAAGTTTCTCGTTGACGTGTGGCCTTACCTTGACAAGGTAATAATCTGGTTAGCAGTTGTATTTTTTTGCACTGCTTTTTGAGAGACTGTTTATTTATTGTGCAGGCGATTTGTTCTACAATAAGAAGCATGGCAAAACCTATCTTCGCTGAGTACATTGGGAAGAATCACATTGAGGATATTGAATTTGACAAGTTGAGTCTTGGAAATCTGCCACCCATAATTTATGGTTAGCCTACTCACTTTGATAGCTTAATCATAAATGCTTATTATTTTCCGAGTGCAAGAGGCATTTTGATTTTCTTATCTAGCACTTTTTAATGCTCTTTGTTAAATTTGAAATGCGATGACGATGAGTCTACAGAAGTTTAGGGCACCACTTCCATTGATTCATAAGTGACAGTTCTTCCTTGTTTTGTATGCATATTTCTGTTTATCTCACATCAGTCAACGCAGAACTAAAAGGATATTCGCATAATGTGTGCAAATCATGGTTAAAATTCAAAACAATATTTTGGTTTATGCATTAACCCTTCGAGATTTATTATGATATATTTTGGTTACTTTTGAATCTTACAGGTCTAAAAGTTTATGAGACTAATGAGAATGAATTAGTCATGGAACCGGCATTTAGGTGGGCTGGCAATCCCAACATAATTCTGGTTTTGAAGTTGTTGTCTCTAAGAATTACAGTTCAGGTAACAAATCAAAGCAAAATCCTTTAGGAGAAGAATCTGTATATTTATATGATACTATGCTTGATGCATTCTTTTCAGAATACTGATTGTTGTTATTCTCAGTTAGTGGATTTGCAAGTATTTGCAGCACCACGGGTAACTCTGAAACCTCTAGTGCCGACTTTTCCGTGTTTTGCAAGCATTCTGGTGTCTTTATTGGAGAAGGTCGCAGAAGAGCTAACTTTTCTTTTATTTTTTTTCACTTTTTATTTTGGATTGCATTTTTTCTGACTGGTTTAGTTAGTTTGCATTGATAAGATGATTTTTTTCTTCAATTTATTTGCAGCCACATGTCGATTTTGGAATCAAGGTATTGGGAGGGGACATCATGGCCATACCAGGCCTTTATTGGTTTGTTCAGGTGCTTCACCAGTAATTCTTTTCTGGATAGGATTGTGATTATACATTGGATGAGTTTTGGATAGCTGTGTAGATGATTTATGCATGTGCAGATGTTGGTTTGATTTGATTTAACTAACCGTCTACGTGTTTGCAGGAGATCATCAAAAAACAAGTCGCAGGCCTCTATCTATGGCCTCAAACACTGGAAATACCGGTTCTCGATGCTTCAATGTGAGTAACCATGAGATGGTGCAACTGGCCTCGGCACATCTAGCTCATTCTTTTCACCTAAAATTTATTGATTCTATATTTTGTTTTACTTATATCTATTTTATATCTATTTCAAATATCCTTTTATTTCACAAAAATGATTTTCCCTTTAAATATTCAACAGAGTGGCCAAGAAGCCTGTAGGGATCCTTCATGTAAAGGTTATTCGAGCACTGAAGCTCTTGAAGATGGACATCTTGGGAAGTTCCGATCCGTACGTCAAACTAACCCTCACTGAAGATAGGTTGCCAGCAAAGCAAACCAGTATCAAGATGAATAAGTTGAATCCTGAGTGGAATGAGAAATTCAAGCTTCTTGTGAAGGACCCTCAAACTCAAGCTCTTGAGTTACAACTCTATGACTGGGACAAGGTTTTCCCCTCAGTTGTTTCTTTTGGCTCAAATACCAAATTATTATTTTTTAATATTAATCCGTTTGATTTTGTTATTTCTTGCAATTCTTCTGCAATAGTGTGTGAACCCTCATTAGCGTTGATCTCTGCTTAATGCTAACTGCTAAGGAATATGAAGTTTGTTAATGATGATGCCGTGTCCTTTGATAAAAGGGAATCAGAAGGGATGTCTTGTGTTTATCAGTATTGGTTCTCAAGCTCTTTGGTCTCAAATGTGTGTTTGAAAGCATATTCATGGAACAATAGTCCCCCAATATCATCAGAGTTCATTATACTAGTTCTTGCTAAATTGGTCGTTAACAAGCTTCTACGAACTTCTACTGAATAAGGCTAAAATCAATTTCTTTTCTCCGTTGGTATTGGTCATTAGCGTGTCTCCATAATTTATTCTTAAATCTGCTCTGAGTCTGAGGTGAGGTTTAGACGAAAGATTCTGTTTGTTAGTTTCTGAATTTGTGAACAAGGTTCAATTTCAGGTTTTGATCGTCTTTTGTGTTCACAGGTTGGCAGACATGACAAATTGGGAATGCAGTTAGTTCCTTTAAAAGTACTAACACCCGGTGTGACCAAGGAATTTGTGCTAGATTTGGTCAAGAACACAAATATCAATGATCCTCAAAACAAGAAGCATAGGGGGCAAATTGTGGTGGAGCTTGCTTTTGTTCCTTTCAAATCAGAAAGCAGTAAACTTAATGGATCTAGTAATGGTTTTGGGAAAAGCGAAAGTGGAAGGTCATCAGAGAGTGATGAGTCCCTCAGTGGAGCTGGTGTACTATCCGTTTTGATCCAGGGAGCTGAGGACGTAGAAGGGGAGCATCACAACAATCCTTATGCTTTGCTTTGCTTTAGAGGAGAAGAAAAGAAAACTAAGGTGAACCTTCACTTTGATAACTATCAACTCCTTTTTATCATCAACAACATTTTTTGAACATAGGCATGAACCACAAATTCAATGAAAAAATCTTGTAATCAGTCTCGTGGCTCCATTTACCTATTTATTTAACTTTAATTGTGTTCTACACAATCTTTTGTGACAGTAAAATCTTGTAAGCATTCTCGTGGTTTTGTTCACGTATTTTCTTAAGTTTTTTTTCTTTCTATTTTGTTGGCAGATGATTAAGAAATCTCGTAATCCACTTTGGAACGAAGATTTTCAATTTATGCTCGATGAGCCTCCTTTGAATGACAAGATTCTTATCGAGGTCAAGAGCAAAGGCAGAGCTCTAATCCGAGCCAAGGTATGAAAAACACCATTGTTCCCTTATTTTTCTCTATGCCCTAGTCTTCTCCACATGCTTTACAGTGCTCGGATTCTGTATCATCTCATCATGTAGGAATCACTGGGATACGTGGTAATTAATCTCGCCGATGTGGTACACAATGGCCGTATCAACCATAAGTACCATTTGATTGACTCCCAAAATGGAAGGATACATGTAGAGCTAAGTTGGACAAAGGCTTGAAGACATGGGATTAGAAAACAATGAGTTGCAAGTGATCTCAAGTCTCAACTGACATTTCCAACTGTTCCGACCGATGATTTACGCATTTGAATGGGAGGAAGAGAAGAGGAGGGGGATAGAGATTCTTGGATCTCATACATTGTTTTGATTTTTCAATTTTTAGAGTAGTCATTCATAGGGATAGGGCAAATTGGTTTAACATTTCTCATTTCTTTTTACATCCCAATAATTTTGAAGTAGATTATGGTGAATTAGCATCTTATCAACCAATCTTGTAAAGGTTGACAATTATGAAGCAACCTTAAAGCTAAAGGGGTAGTGCTATTCACATATCCCTTTTTACGTTCCACACACTTTTGTTAATTTTTGTCACTAATCATTTTCATTGGATCCGACAACCGGAAATTGAGAGCATTGTGCGAGAAGTAAAAATGGGCGTGATAACACCAACCAAGCTAAAGCAAAGTTTTCATCAGTAAAGTGCAAAGCAATCCCCTACTGATTTGGTATTGGATGATTTTGTTTATTTTGCTTTGGGTTAGAGCTGGGCTGGAAGCTTACTCTTTTTCAAATCAAAATCCAATTTCAATTGTGCTAGCTAGACCAGGCCAGTTGGTAAGGGATTGAGCTTGGGTTAGACACCTCTGCAAGCTTTAGACCAGATCAAGCCCAAGTCACATTTTCTTTTATTAAAAAGTGGGGATGAAGCTGGAATGGGGCAAGCCTGCCCAACTCAATGATGCCAAGGCCCCCCCACTCCCGAAAGTTTTATGGTGTAAAATTTTAAACAATGTTTAAAATTGATTTTTCTTTTGTTTAGTCCACGTCGTGCCTTCAAATTAGAGTTGTGAGATCCACATGCATGCTACGTCAGCACATAACATAAATTTTGTTGAATTTGGACAGTAAGGGTGTGGGATAAACGTGGATGACAACATTGATATATTTCAAAGTGAGAAACCAAACTAATGAGTTATGAAAAAGTTAGAATCATGTGATAAAAATACCACTTCTACTAAATATACGATATGACAAGAACATGTTAGCAAATCAAAGGACGAAGAAGAAGAAGAAAAATTGATTACAAAGTTTGATTCTTAAATTTTGTTCAAACTCATATTACCTCTCTTTACGTCCAACTTACCATCTACATATATTGTTTCCAAAATGTAGCAAATACGTTTGCGCCTCAAATTGTGGTGGAAGGCAGTAGGAGAAACTTAGAAGGGGAATTTGGATCAGTTGAAGTAGAAACAGGTAAATTTAAACGGCATTAATAGGGTTATAGGATTTGGGTAAATATTTAAAATATTCATTAAAAATATTCAACGGGATTCCTAGTTGCAGATCATAAGTAAAGATTTGTACCTGATCCCATAGTCCCTGGTATGGTATTAGGGTTACCATGGGAATGCTCATCGAAGTCGACTTGATTGTTCCATTCCCAACTCAAATGCCACACTTGGGATGGGAACAATCCGGGCCATCGCGTCAAAAGATCAGAGGAACACAAGGCAAGTGATTTGAAGCCATGAACTGGAATGTGGTGGATGTCTTGTTGTCAAAGTTAGGCAAAGATTTTCAAACACGATTGGCATTTTTCAGTTTGAACCTATATATATAGGAAAGCTCTAAAACTTCAAATCACCATCTATTCGTGAAAAAAGGGTCTGTTTTTTTCTGTATGAAAGCGTATTAGGGTTTGGTTATTATAGGAGGAGTGGACGGAATAAGGGTTTTAGCCATAATAAAACATAGGAGAAAAAGTTGTGTGATTGTGAGTGTTTGATTATTGGGTGTGGATTTATAAATAAATTTTGAATTTAGTTTTAATTGCATCTCGTCCTTAACAATAACTGTAAAAACAACGACTTGATTCTTTTACATCCTCTCAAGACTTTATTCTTCTACTAAGTTACAAGATGCAATAGTAAACTCTAGTAAATAATAGGAAATCAAACCATAATACTTATCCTACTAAAAAAGCTCTTCAGATGTAAAGTACTAAAAATACCCCCAACATAAAAATGAAAATAAAAAACCAAATTACTAAGCTCTAACTTTTCCAACAAAACTTTCCCTACAATTGAGGAAGGTATTCTAAAGCTAAGCATATGTTGTCATATAAGAAAGTTAAAAGATATAATAATACATGATAGGTTTGGATTACTGATTGACATTGATAATTCACTAAGTAAAGCTCAAGTTGAGCATGTAAGGTTGCATGTCTTGTGGCAAACCTTGTACAGGTTGGTGCCTTTTTTTTCTGAGCTAAACAAAATATTGTTCATGTAATTTCCTAATTGATACGAAACAAGCCACTTTTTGGTGATGAAATCAAACTATTGATATGCTAATTCTTTAACTGTTTCTTTCCCATTTGTATAGCACAGGTGAAACAATGTTCGCTGAAGAGGTTGATCGAACAAGTAATTGCAGCTGCAGCACGTCAAGAGAGGCAACGCCTCCGTTTTCTCATTAGCCTTACTTAGATTTTGTTCATAGTTTTAATTTCAGTATGTTGAAAGGCCTGAAGGTGTTGCAGCACCTTTTCCTCTTGAATCAACAAGATTATTATTTTATAACCTCTATATTTCTTATGGGACGTCTGACTGTCGAGTGTATAATAAAACAAGAAATTTCTTGCAGTTGAAGTGTGGCAAGATCAAAATTTCAAGTTAATCATGTACCGCAGACATAACATTACAAATACAAATAAATTCTATCCTATTTATATGTATATGATACATGCACATAAGCAAGGCAACATACATGAATATGCATAAAAAAATAAAAGTAAACAGTGAAAAAGTTAGAAAGCGACTTGCACGAACTCAAATTAAGCATGATCTTAAACATAAGGACCCCAGTGGATGCATGGATTAGGTTTGACTTGCTGATGATCAAATGTATGTGACGTCATAATTAAGGAAAGCTGCTTGGCAACTTGTTCCCCTGTAGTGGATATGCATGGTTAAGACTCCATCTAAATTATCTTAACTAGCTTTCATGCACGCGCGTTTTTTGAATCACGACGTGCTATTTGGGATTATATGTTTTAAATGTATTTATATGCATAAATTGACAAAAGGAAAATCAAATATTTGAAGTAAACGAATAATTTTAGATCATGCTAGAAATCTCTCATAAACTAATTAAAGTAGCTGAATTCACATAATAAAATCGGTCTCCATAGAATTTACATTAAGAATAGAGAAAATAATATTTAATAAACAATTGATTGAATCATATTATTGCTAGCATATTGTGAAACTAAGCTCACCCCCTCCCCCTTAGTGTAGATAATATCGTTTATTTAAAAAAAAAATCATTTGACAATTAATTTAATCACATTATTATCCGTGTGCGAAAGACTTTTTTTATAACCGGCATTATACGCCTCTTAAGATGTTTTAAACGTGTTTAAAAATAGAGAAAATAATATTTAATAAATAACTTATTGAATCACATTATTGCTAGCCCATTGTAAAGCTAAGCCCACCCCCTTAATGTAGATAATATTGTTTGTTAAAAATAAAAATAAAACAATCATTTGATAACTTATTTAATCACATTGTTATCCGCGTACGGAAAAACCTTTTTTATAACCTGCATTACATGCCTCTTAAGATGTATTGAACGTGTTTAAAAATAAATAAATTGAATCACATTATTGCTAACTTACTGTGATGTACTAATTAAATAAAAAAAGCACAAAAAAGTAAATTATTAAAGAAATACTATTAAAACAACGAAATTGCCCCTATCTTATTTGATGTATTATTTTGGAATGCCTTTGAAATTTTTTGTTTTGGGGGCATTTTTGTCCAAATATTTTTGTTGAAACATGGTGACACCAAATCAGTATTCACCTTTTCCATTCTCTTATAGATAGATTAAAGAGAGTATAGAATTAAAATAACACCCGAATCAAAATTATCTTAATTTTGGGGTGATGGCTTGCCTCGGGGATGAGACTGCGACGCCGGAGGTTTGGGCTCTGCAGGGTTTTTGGTTGATGTTTGTTTTGCAACTTACGGGCGTATAAGTCTGTGTGCAAGCTTTCTATCTTGAGTTGCAAGTCTTCTTTGGCTTGAGTCTTTCTACCCTCGTATCTTTCTTTGTTTATTTAGTGTTTTGTGTTTTATTTGAACTTAGTCCATCGATCACAAATTGTAATTTGTCTTGATCTTTAATGAGGTTTACTTTCTGACAAAAAAAAGAGAGTATAGAAGAAAAGCATGCATGTGCAATAATTAATGTTCCAATCTACCAAGTAAAAGATTTTTCGACTTTGCATATTATGATTTTGTTACATAATCTCTGTCTCCCCACTAAAGTAAACGTAGCATATAATATAAATATTCTCTAAATTCTTTAATTGACACAATAAGTTCGGTGTGTATGCACACTATGAAAAATGAGAATGAAGAACCATTATGCATTTAAAAATTTGATCTTTCAATAGGTTTAATATGCCAAAATATTCATGCTGAGAACCATCGATCAAGTTGATCAAACGGTAAATTCAACTTAATCAATACTTAATTTACACAATAAGAGAGAAAGAGAGAGATTATTAGTTATTTAAGCAATGGATGCATGATTATATGAGAATTTTCAAATGCAAGACATCGAATGCCCTTAATCACTTTCACTACCCAAGTGGGGAGCACCATAAGAGGAGGGATTATTATTCCCCTTGGATATTAAAAAAGGTCAGCTTTCTCGTTGACTTGCCCCAGAAAGTCTGGCGAATTTTAGAGATATAGTAAAGGGAATCCTATACCCTCCCCACAAAGGGTTTTTATGAGGATTCTTTCTTTGTTATAATGCATCTCCACTCACTGCTATAGGAAGCCCTTCATTGCCCTCTCTCTCTCTCTCTCTCTCTTCTGGTTCTCACTCAGTAGCTAGGGCAAGTTTGTAGTGTGAGGCATGCATGTGTGCCCTCAAAAGGAGGTGTGAAATGAAAAGGGGTCACTTTCCTGGTTCTTTGTTGATGTTCGTTTGTGGGGGAGAGGAATAACTTTTGCAATTCTAAAAAGCTACAGCATTTTAATTTTCTTTTAAAAGGTATATTATCTTGTGATATATAAAGTGGTGGGAATAGGGAACTCCACTCACCTCATTATATGATGGTTAACTCTTTTGATTATTTGGATTTAGTGTTTGGTGCTTGGATGCCTTGGGTCCCTACTGTGTGCACTCTCAATTTCAGAAGCTGATCCATGAGGTGTCATGTCGTTAAGGTTCTTGTGATTGAGATAGAGCGAGATCTTGAGAGTGTGAATCTCGTTAACAGACCTTGTATGTACTTATAAGGAGTTGAACTACTTTCTATATTTTCAATTTTTTTTGTAACAATACCTCTACTTTCTGAGTAAGAGAGAACAACTGGACAAATGAAGATTCTTGATGCCTCAGCAGACCATTACCAAATGCTTGAAATAATGGAGAGAATGGCAGATACCAATTCTCTGAGCACTCAGCTCTCCAACTCACATTTTCAAACTTCCAATAATCCCACTTCCCAATTTACTCTTAGAGAGATAGAGATGGAAGATTGTTTTTGCATAGAGAGAACAAAGTTGTGTATGTGACTGTACTATACAGCTATACTATTCCAAACATAATGTGAAGGGGAATATTTTGACCTAATTTCAGTTTTCAACCAAGGCCACATCCACTGGTAAACCTCATAAGGATTTAATGGTATATTTGAGGAATAAATAAATCCTCAAGAATCATACTTTTTTCCCCCCAAAATTATCCTACTACAACACCACCAACATAATTTCTCTTCACTTGTAAGTGAAATGTCTTATGTTCGATTCTCACAACGAATTTGAACCACATTATTGCTAGCCCATTGTGAGGTTTAGTCAACTCTCCCACCCCCTTAGTGTAGATATATCATTTGTTCAAAAGAAAAAAAAAACACCACCAACATATTGCATATGTAACGTAATAAATAAATTATTCTCCCTTTTTAAAACAGTTGCGCTCAACCAAAAGGTGTCTTAAAATTTTTTTACAACAGTGTTTGTTTTTCCAATATAAACGATATGAAAATGACTTTCACACTATTTTCCCTTTCAATTTGAAACGATTATATAAAGTGAAAGAGAATTAAACATAGGTATGCCAAAATAAATTTGTGAGCATGAAGCCATGAATCATTTCCCCAAACGATATTACGAGAGAAGAATCAATCAATACAAGGCTCCACTGCATGAATAGATGTTAAACGAATGTATATCATTTTAAGATAAAAAGAAATGCTAAGGGGACTCTCTCAAAATTGGAACTTTCTATGCAATCTTTGTCACCTCATGTTTTTTGCACTATGTTTTATAAATAAGAATTGACATTAAACTGAAAAGTGACGGAATCTATGAAGAGTCTCACTTTCGAGAGAGTCACCTTAACATTTTCCTAAGACAAATTACTCGGTCAACTCAGTACGTTGTCTTCCAAGAAGAGTATGTATATCACATATGTAATTTTCAAGCACGAGTTTTCTCGAAGAACACATTCATGATGGTTACCCATAGCCTACTATATTCTCGTGGATTCATTAATGGTGGTTATAGCCATAGACTAATATATTTCCAACTGCCAGTTTTTGACCATTGAATCGGTATGCCAATTCTAGAGGTTGATGATTTGCATGGTTCGTCGACCCAATGTTTTGTATGGTCTGAAACACACACGAAACCGAGTAACATATATGATTATAAAAAACAGAAACGAGAACAT